TAGTAAACAGTAGCAGCAGCGTATATGATGAGCAAAAAGGGTCAATGCAGATAGTCAGAGTACGTATTTTTTTAACTATTTAACTAACTTTTAGCAGTCTATGGCTTGTGGGTAGAAGCTGTTCAGGGTCCTGTTGGTTCCAGACTTGGTACATCGGTACTGCTTGCTTTGCGGTAGCAGAGAGAACAGTCTGTGACTTGGGTGGCTGGAGTGTTTGACAATTTTTAGGTCCTTCCTCTGAAAAGGCCTGGTATAGAGGTCCTGGATGGCAGGACGCTTGGCCCCAGTGATGTACTGAGCCGTACACACTACCCTCTGTAGCGCCTTGCGGTCGGAGGCCGAGCAGTTGCCATACCAGGCGGCGATGCAACCAGTCAGGATGTTCTCGATGGTGCAGCTGTAGAACTTTTTGAAGATCTGAGGGCCCATGACAAATCTTTTCAGCATCCTGAGGGGGAAGAGGCATTGTCATTCACGACTGTGTTGGTGTATTTGGAACATGATAATTCCTTAGTGATGTGGACACATAAGAACTTGAAGCTCTTGACCCTCTCCACTACAGCCCCATCGATGTGGATGGGGCGTGCTCTGCCCTCCGTTTCCTGTGGTCAACGATCAGCTCTTTTGTCTTGCTCACGTTGAGGGAGAGATTGTTGTCCTGGCATCACACTGCCAGGTCTCTGACCTCCTCCCGATAGACTGTCTCATAGTCGTCGGTGATTAGTCGTGGGTGAACAGAGAGTACAGGAGGGGACTAAACACGCACCCCTGAGGGGCCCTGTGTTGAGGGCCAGAGTGGTGGATGTGTTGTGGCCCTGGTGTCAGAGTTATTTTCCAAGCCCAGCTGTAAATACACTTTTCAATTATCATAAAATTATAATTATCTTCACTAGACTGAATTTCAGATGAAACCATATGTAATTTGCACGTAATTACATTTCACCTTTTGGAGTGTGTGGTGCGTAATCTCATTGTAGTATAATGTGTCATCATATTGAAGGGGTATCAATGGCTCTCGATTGATATACACTACCGGTCAAAAGTTTTAGAACACCTACTCATTCAAGGGTTTTTCTTTATTTTTTATTATTTTCTACATTGTAGAATAATAGTGAAGACATCAACACTATGAAATAACACATATGGAATCATGTAAAAAAAAAAAATTACAGGTTGAGAGCTTCAAGTTCCTTGGTGTCCACATCACCAACGAACTATCATGGTCCAAACACACCAAGAGAGTCGTGAAGAGGGCACGACAAAGCCTATTCCCCCTCAGGAGACTGAAAAGATTTGGCATGGGTCCTCAGATCCTCAAAAAATTATACAGCTGCACCATCGAGAGCATCCTGACTGGTTGCATCACCGCCTGGTATGGCAACTGCTTGGCCTCCGACCGCAAGACACTACAGAGGGTAGTGCGTACGGCCCAGTACATCACTGGGGCCAAGCTTCCTGCCATCCAGGACCTCTATACCAGGCGGTGTCAGAGGAAGGCCCTCAAAATTGTCAAAGACTCCAGCCACCCTAGTCATAGACAGTTCTCCCTGCTACCGCACGGCAAGCGGTACCGGAGTGCCAAGTCTAGGTCCAAAAGACTTCTCAACAGCTTCTACCCCCAAGCCATAAGACTCCTGAACAGCTAATCATGGCTACCCGGACTATTTGCACTGCCCCCCCACCCCATCCTTTTTACGCTGCTGCTACTCTGTTAATTATTTATGCATAGTCACTTTAACTCTACCCACATGTACATATTACTTCAACTATCTCAACTAGCCGGTGCCCCCGCACATTGACTCTGCACCGGTACCCCCCTATATATATAGCCTCCCTACTGTTATTTTATTTTACTTCTGCTCTTTTTTTCTCAACACTTTTTTAGTTGTTGTTTTATTTTTTGTTAAAAATAAATGCACTGTTGGTTAAGGGCTGTAAGTAAGCATTTCACTGTAATGTCTGCACCTGTTGTATTCGGCGCATGTGACCAATAAAATTTGATTTGATTTGATAATAACCAAAAAAGTGTTAAACAAATCAAAATAGATTTTATATTTGAGATTCTTCAAATAGCCACCCTTTGCCTTGACAGCTTTGCACACTCTTGGCATTCTCTCAACCAGCTTCAAGAGGTAGTCACCTGGAATGCATTTCAATTAACAGGTGTGCCTTCTTAAAAGTTAATTTGTGGAATTTCTTTCCTTCTTAATGCGTTTGAGACAATCAGTTGTGTTGTGACAAGGAAGTGGTGGTATACAGAAGATAGCGCTATTTGGTAAAAGACCAAGTCCATATTATGGCAAGAACAGCTCAAATGTTAGAGAGACAAAATAAGACATGGAGGTCAGTCAATACGGAAAATTTCAAGTGCAGTCGCAAAAACCATCAAGCGCTATGATGAAACTGGCTCTCATGAGGACCGCCACAGGAATGGAAGACCCAGAGTTACCTCTGCTGCAGAGGATAAGTTCATTAGAGTTACCAGCCTCAGAAATCGCAGCCCAAATAAATGCTTCAAGTCACAGACACATCTCAACATCAACTGTTCAGAGGAGACTGTGTGAACTGTGAATCAGGCCTTCATGGTCGAATTGCTGCAAAGAAACCACTACTAAAGGACACCAATAATAAGAAGAGACTTGCTTGGGCCAAGAAACACGAGCAATGGACATTAGACCGGTGGAAATTTGTCCTTTGGTCTGGAGTCCAAATTTGAGATTTTTGGTTCCAACCGCCGTGTCTTTATGAGACGCGGTGTGGGTGAACGGATGATCTCTGCATGTGTATTTCCCACCGTAAAGCATGGAGGAGGAGGTGTTATGTTGTGGGGGTGCTTTGCTGGTGACACTGTCTGTGATTCATTTAGAATTCAAGGCACACTTAACCAGCATGGCTACCACAGCATTCTGCAGCAATACGCCATCCCATCTGATTTGGGCTTAGTGGGACTATCATTTGTTTTTCAACAGGACAATGACCCAACACACCTCCAGGCTGTGTAAGGGCTATTTTACCAAGAAGGAGAGTGATGGTGTGCTGCATCAGATGACCTGCCTCCACTATCCCTCGACCTCAACCAAATTGAGATGTTTTGGGATGAGTCGGACCGCAGAGTGAAGGAAAAGCAGCCAACAGGTGCTCAGCATATGTGGGAACTCCTTCAAGACTGTTGGAAAAGCATTCCAGGTGAAGCTGGTTGAGAGAATGCCAAGAGTGTGCAAAGCTGTCATCAAGGCAAAGGGTGGCTACTTTGAAGAATCTCAAATATAAAATATATTTTGATTTGATTAACACTTTTTTTTGGTTACTACATGATTCCATATGTGTAATTTCATAGTTTTGATGTCTTCACTATTATTCTACAATGTAGAAAATAGTAAAAATAAAGAAAAATCCTTGAATAAGTAGGACACACCTACTCATTCAAGGGTTTTTCTTTATTTTTACTATTTTCTACATTGTGTTTAGCTTGTCCGGAAGCACGGTGTGGGTGTCTGCGACGTGGCTGGTTTTCCCATGATTGTCTGGAGTCCTTGCCACATGCGTTTCGTGTCTGAGCCGTTGAATTGCGACTCCACTTTGTCTCTGTACTGAGGTTTTGCCTGTTTGATTGACTTACAGAAGGCATAGCTGGACTTTTTGTACTTGTCCATGTTCCCAGTCACCTTGCCGGGGTTAAATGCAGTGGTTTCGCGTTTTCAGTTTTGCTCGAATGCTGTCATCTATCCACGGTTTTTGGTTTGGATAAGTTCTAATCGTCATAGTAGGAACAACATCCTCTATGCACTTCCTGATGAACCGAGTCAGTGTATACGTCAATGTTATTCTCAGAGACAACCCAAAACATATCCCAGTCCATGTGATTAAAACAATCTTGAAGCATAGATTCCGATTGGTCAGACCAACATTGAACAGTCCATACCACGGGAACTTCCTGTTTAAGTTTCTGCCTTTAGGAAGGGACGAGCAGAATGGGGAAAGGGGATACCTAGTCAGTTGTATAACTGAATGCATTCAACTGAAATGTGTCTTCCACATTTATCCCAACCCCTCTGAATCAGAGAGGTGCGGGGGGCTGCCTTGATTGACGTCCACGTCATCGGAGCAGGTGTTGTTGGGGGGGGTTAACTTCCTTGCTCAAGGGCAGAACGGCAGATTTCGAACCAACGCTCTTAACCGCAAAGCTACCTGAGCCTTGATCTGATTTGCCGAAAGGAGGGCGGGGGAGGGCTTTGTAGCCATCCCGGAAGGGGGAGTAGCGGTGGTCGAGTTCTCGATGAGCGAATAGCGCAGCCGATGTGTTGATAAAACTTCGGTAGCGTTTTCCTCAGATTTGCTTTAGTAAAGTCCTCAGCTACAATAAATGCAGCCTCAGGATATGCAGTTTCCAGTTTGTACAAAGTCCAGTGTAGTTCCTTGAGAGCCGTCGTGGTGTCAGCTTGAGGGGGAATAATCACGGCCGTGTCATGGGAAGTAACTTCAGAGCAGCTCGTAAATGAGTCAGGAGTCGGGGTTTAAGTCATGTTTAATGACTTTTTAAAGATGGCTTGAATAATTTAGACTAGGGAGATGAAATGTAGGGGAGGGAGGAGGAGGGAGAGCAGGGGAGGGAGGGACTTAGAGGAATGCTTTACTGCCGTTAAGGGTGTAACTCAAGGCAATTGCTGTTTAATACGTTTTAGTGGATCACATGATTTGGAGTTATTCTGTGTGCTTATATATACTGTACGACATATAAAAAACATGGTATACACTTAAGATTAACTGAGTTACATCCAAACTTTACTCCAACATCATTGGAAATTAGAAAAGGGTTTGTTGTCTCGGCTGGCTGCCCTCTAGTCATCTGCTTGTTTTCTTTGTAAACTGAACTCTTGTATCATGTCTTTACTAACAGTGATGCCAACATGACACGTGGCCTTGAACCTTACCAGACTAGCATAATCAAATGAATGAAGACTTCATCCTCTTATTCTCCTGTTATGTAACAAGCTTTAGACATGCACAGGGTGAGCATGGTTTGGGCTTATGCTATAGCATGTGTGTGTCTGTGTGTGCAAATTAACTGGGCTAATGTCATGCATGCGCTGGATGAAAGGACCTGTGTGTGGGTTTAGGAGCCACTCAGGTGAGACCACACCGGCTCAGTGGGCACTTGTTTCCTCTGCACACACACACAAGCACATGCACAGACACACACGCGCGCGCACACACACCTCACAGCCACTGTGTGTATAATCCCTGAAATCAAATCGCTGTTAACCTTAGAGGTCAAACTACAAAGGCTCTGGCCCTATATCTTCTGTATTATGTGATTAACACTCCAAGTACACCAGTCAACTCCACTTCCATTCCAGTCCATTCAGGTAGCATGGCGAAATCACCATAGGGAAGTGATGCCAAACTTTAGTCCCCCAACCCTAGCAGGCTTTTGTTCCAGCCCAGTACTACCTGTCGTACTACTACCCTGATAACCCTCAAATTAGTCAATGTGTTCATCACCCTCTCTAACCTCTTTACCCTACCTCTTCACTTCCCTCCTCCTGTTCTTCCTCTCTTTCCCTCCTCACCCTCTCTCCCCTCTTCCCCCCTCTCCACCTCAGCAGTTAAAGTTCCTGAGAGCACAAAGCCTGACTCAGTCTTACTAGAGAGAGAGAGATGGGGGGGGGGGGGGGTGTAAGAGACTGACAGCCCAGGGTGGTATGTTTACATCCCCTGTTCCCCCCCTCTCTCCTGAGGGTGTTGGACTGACCCTGCCCCTGACCTGACTGACGGCCTGCTTCCTGTCGTACGGGTCGCTCAACTATGGACCCCTGGAGGGGTAGCAAGAGGGGGAAGGGAGAGGCCACTAGGGCTATAGAAAGGGGGTGTCGGTTTTTCGAGCTGGCGTTTTGTCAGGGTGATTGACACTCACGGACTGAATGGAAAAATACTCATTCGTGATGACAAGATGGTGTGCAGGAACTAGTGGTGATTGTGTACGCTGTTCCTCCCTCATTTTCTCCCTCTTTCATGTTGTCTTTATCTCTCTCTCTCCCTCTTTCTTTCAATTCAATAAAAAAAACATATTGATATGGAAAGTAAGAGCACTTACATTGTCAAAGCAAACATAAAACAAGGATGGTTGAGTAAGACAAAAATATTTCTCTCTTCTCCCTGTTATCTCTCTCTCTCTTTTCCCTCTCTCTCTCTCCCCAACTCTTCCCGTCTTCCCCCCTTTCTCCTTCCCCCTCTTTCCAGTAAGTTCACCATGTTTTCGTGGACAGGTCAGCATGTCTATGTCTTCAACCCACATCTTCCCTGCCTTTATATGGTATTTTTTACTGGGTGAGAAGCCCTGATTTACACAGGGAGGCCCATTGAGTAAGGCTATGGGTTGTTAGGGAGTTAGTTTGTGTTCAGCTGCACTGTGGAAACCCCCCCCCCCCCCCTTCCTTCCATCAGATGTTTCACTTCAGTTTCACAGCAGGCTCCCACAGCGAGTCTAACAAGTGTGTGTGTGCGTGCATATGTTTTTTTTTTTTTGGGGGGGGGCATCAAAATATGTTTGAGTTTTTCAGTCAGTTTGTGGGTTTTCAATTTGTGTGTGTGTGTGTGTGTGTGGGGGGGGGGGTTCATTCGAAGTGTACAATTTGTGTGTGTGCAGGTGTGCTTTGTCAGTGTCAGCTTGTGTGCCCACACACACAGACGTCTCAGCGTTATTCCCAGAGTCCTCCTCTCTTTCTCCTCTGAATTACTGTAAATATGGAACATTCTCTTCCACATGACCAGCAGGCTTTTCTGCCTTCTCAGCTGGTCGAATCACGCCCAATGTTATGAGCCAGCAGATTGTGTGTAGTGTGTAACTCTGTACACCTCTATAGCACAGGAGGCTGCTGAGGGGAGGACATCTCATAATAATGGTTGTAATGGAGAGAATGGAATGGTATCAAACACATGGTCACCATGTGTTTAATGTGTTCGATACCATTACATTTTTTTCCGTTCCAGACATTACTATGAGCTCGTCCTCCCCATTTAAGGTGCCACCACTGTCTCTTATTTGCCATCTCACTCTCTGTCCCCCTTTCTCTCCTTCTGTCTGTAATATATTTGGTTCTTCACAGGCTGTTGTTTTGACAGCTTTAACCTCCTCAAAAGCCGATGCTGTTCCCATCCTTCACCAGCCATTTGTTGAGATTTGGCTGTCAGTGTGTGTGTGTGCGCGCGCGCGTGCATGTGCAGAACATCGAAATACAGTCTAACCCTGATTCTATGTCTCTCTTTGTGTTCCAGAGCAGTCTACAGTGTACTCCATGGGGTCTGATGGCATCTCTGGAACAGCAGGTTGGGGAGCTGAGGGTGGATACAGAGGATAATGCAGTGGAGGCCTCTACTGAGCTGGTGGACAGTCGGCCCAGCTCAGGTAACACAACACTACACAAATTGGACCCTTACGTAGGGTTGCAAAATTCTCAGGTTTTCCAGATATTCAGGTTGGAAGATTCCTGGAATCAGCAGGCAATAAGCAGAAAATATGGGAATCCTCCAACTAGGATTTCTGGAGAAAAAAATGTTAGGGAGGGGGAGTTACCAGAATTTTGCAACCTTACCCTTAAGCCATTGGTTCAATCGATCATATTTCTGATACACACAACGTAGCTATAGTCGGTAGTATGCCTGTTTGGTGTGGGAGAAAGCAGTGTTGTACTACTCGAGTCCAGGACTCGGACTCAAGTCACGATTTTCATGACTCGTGACTCGACCAGTTGTGACTAGGACTTGGACTCAATCAGTCATGACTTTGCAGTCATAAAGTCTTTCTCCCTTGCATAATTCAACATGCTAGATACAACAGCAAATCTTAGATAGCCACTGTACTAGCTGCTAGCCTTATCAGCTAGCTAGCGTTCTACATGACAAAATATAGCTTCAAATATTTTTTGACCTCATCCTAGGGAACCGTGACTCAACTCGGGACTCAAGTCAAGGGCTTGAGCCTTCTCTAGTTCCATGCCTTTATGATGTAGTTCCATCAGAGAGAGTTGTCACCAAGCCCCATTTATTTTCTCTCCTTGGCTCAGAGGCTGACATCATTATATGAGGTGGTTTGGTAGCCTGGCAGGAACAATAGCAGGCAGACACATCGGCTCCATTTTAGAATGGTTAACTTAAATGACCCCACATTAGGCCCATTACTGCTCCATACAGATGTAGGATCTTAATTTGATCACTCTTTTGTTGCAGAGAATTTTCCTGCACAGCAGGAAATGCAAACTTGTAGTGTATTTGAGATTCAAAAAGGTTTCTAAAGTTTGTCATTTCCGCTTTGAAATTTCAGACTTCATTTGCCCTAACGAAAAATGTATCAACCCCTACAAAAATGTCCATGAAATATAATCCATAATAATTAATATTTCCTGTTGCTGTAGGATTATTTTCCTGCTGTAGCAAACTGGCTCAAATTCAGATCCTACATCTGTATAGCTATCTCACCCCTATCTCACCTCACTCTTACTGTATTGTACTGTATATTTCACGCTCGTCTTTTTGGAGAGGGAGCCAAAGTTGTGTGTGATATAGAGGGATTTGTCAAGGGCTGCGTAGCTCGTGTACTTTATGAATCAGTGCAGGAAACGGTTCCAAAACCCACATTAAATTGATAAATGCATTCGGTTTTCAGAGGAGTGTTTTTGCTAAGAGTTGAAAACTACTTGGCTTGGAGAGCTGTGAGCCGTCCAATGAAAATGTACTTTCGGCTCCCCGAAGATGCCAGGAGTTTTAAATCCATGGCTAATGCTGTGCCAATTACCTCAAAATATAGAGATTGAGGGTGGCACGTTGAAAAACGCTTTGAGAAACCTTCACAGGTTAAAAAAAGGAAACCTTGAGAGGCATCAAATGCCTTCAGGAATGACTAAATGACTAACATGCCATTCGCTTTCAACATGAAAAACAACACAGTATATCTCCCTTAGAAAAATACTAAATGAACTGGAAAAACACTAGACTCTCCTACATTCCAAGCTAGGCTAGTAAAGCTATGCTACCAGTCCTCTCTTCATAACTGAATGTTCCTCAGCTATAGTCACATGAAAGAGATGCTGTGTAAGTCTTTTGAGAGTGGTTACTCTTTCGAGCCAATGCTCTTTTGTAGTTATTTTCAAGACCCAAACTGACTTACTTGCTTACTATACTTTTTATTATTTCACAGTAACATAACCTTTTATGATCTCAGAGTAACAGAAAAACCACAAAATGCACCGACCTAAAATGACTCTTGGTGGCAGGCAGAGAAAGACCATAACAAATGAAAAAGGAAAAGCTCACTACTAGACTAAAGAGATTACAATGAAATAAAGAGTGAGAGGCAGTGGCGGCTCCTGAAAAAATTCTCAGGGGGGGCAATTTTTCTGATGATTTAGGTGACCTACACACATTTTTAAAAATATATGTCCAGCAACAACATGAAGACAGGGGCAGCATATAAGTCAATACTGATATACACATTACTTGCTTCAAAAAGGCCTCATGGTTGAATTGGAAATATGTGCACCTGAGCATAATTCACAACAAGCAAGCAGGAGCTTTTGATAGAGGCTACTGAAAACATTGATGCAAGTTATTGGTAATAATAAATTTTTATAGACTTCCATATTCTGCCCTCTTGTATATATTTGTGAAAATGAACAGTGATAGACATTTTGCCTGAAAACAGAATTTGAAAATAATTTCTAGAAAAGGTAAACACAGCTATCTGTATGGCTTTGTAAAAATGAACAACCATATTCTGGCCAATTGTATAGATTTGTAAATATGAACAACCATATTCTGGCCAATTGTATAGATTTGTAAAAATGAACATGAACAGATTTTTTTTTTTTTTTAAACTTTTTCTTTAATGAAAAATAACTATTTTAAACAACATCAACTGTGAACTGATTTGGGCGTGTGTGTGTTAAAGAGACAGACAGGGAGGGACAAAGAGAGAGAGAGGCTACATTACTTGTACTGAAACTGTTCTCTTCTCTCTTTCAATGCAGCAAAGCAGTCAATGACTTTCTCATTGAAATCAGGCATGCTGAGGACTAGTTTACTAGATACTTTTTTGATGCGAGAAGTAGCTTGCTGCATGATCAAATTCAGCTGATGCGCATAGCAATGCACGTAATGGGCATTCTTGAAATGCTCACGCACCTTTTGCTGCACACCAGCCTTCTCTCCCCTCATCACACTGGCTCCATCGTAAGCTTGCGCAATGAGTTTGACTTTCTCGTCGTCTGCAAAAAGACCGTTCAGTCTCTCCAAAAGCACACTGGCGATTGAGACTGAGGTTGATTCCGAGATGGGAAGGAACTCAAAAAAGCGCTCCTGCACTTTGTGGTTGCTATCTATGTACCTCAGCACAAGCACCAGCTGTGTCTGTGTAGAAACGTCCGTGGTCTCGTCAGCTTGGATAGCTACGAAGTTCGCCGACTTCACCTCCTCCACAATATGTTCCCTCATGACCGCTAGCATACACTCCAGTAGCTCGTTTTGAATGGTCTTTGATGTGCCCTTGAAAACTTTAGCATTTTTAAGATGGTCATCAAACACCTCATCTAATTGTGCCACAAAGTTGACAAGTCCAAGAAAAATACCAGGGTTGGTGGAGCCCTCAGTTTCATCTTTGCCTCGCAAAGCTAGCCATCTTGACAGTGGTACGTGAATTGATTGACGCTGCTACCCGCTCTTTTCTTAGTTATGTTCATGGTTACTTATGTTACGTATGACGAAAGCGCGTAAGTGCAAGCCCTCCCGGAACCCATAGAGATTGTATTGAAAGCTCTGATATTTGAAAAAAAAAAAGATTTTACATGAGAGTCTATGAGAGACTTCTGGGGCGATTTTCCACCTGACTGAAATCGCCCCAAAAGGGGCGGGGCCATTTGAAGCACGACTTTAGCCTGATTGGACATTTAGTGGCAGATCAGACGTCTAGATTAGAACACTGATAACTACTGTTGCCGTGATATAATTGATTAGAAAAAAAATCCCTTCCTTTTCCCGTTTGGCAGTGCGTCGCCCATATCGCCCTAATGAACACACCGCCCCTGGTGAGAGGCCAATATAATATAAGGGGGATCCACCTGCTTACGGCTGACAAAGTCATAGAAGTGAAGGTGGATACAAGTGAACATGGCAGTCTCTTTCTGTTTAAATCAGTTAGTGTTCCAGTTCCTAAGAAAAGTAAGCAAGACACTGTATGCATACCCAATGACTGAGGAAACAACCATCCTCAGGAAATACAGACTGTTGCACTTGCATACCAGTACTCCCAAAGGTCATTTGGCTGAGACGTGAGTGGTATTGGTCCTGTGTGGCTCAGTTGGTAAGAGCATCAAACCAAATTGTATTTGTCACATGCGCCGAATACAACAGGTGTAAACCTTACCGTGAAATGCTTACTTACAAGCCCTTAACCAACAATGCAGTTTTAAGAAAAATAAGAGTTAAGAAAATATTTACTAAATAAACAAAATGTAAAAAATTAAAGACAAACAATAAAATAACAATAATGAGGCTCTATACAGGGGGTATGGTAATAATGCTAAGGTTTTGTTGGTTCATGTCCCGCATGGATCAAAAATACACATACGAAAAATGGATGCATTCACTGTACTGTAAGTCGCTTTGGATCAAATCGATTCTTGCTGGGGCCACCAATATGAAAATGTATGCACTCACTGTTGTAAGTCTCTTAGGATAAAAGCGTCTGCTAAATGGTTAATGGTATATAGTAAATGTGTTTACAGGTTTCTATGAGCTGAGTGAGGTCCTTTCTCCTGTGGGTCTCTCTGATTCCACTGGGTTTGGAGTGCTCTCATCCAGCGCTACCCGAGCCATCCACATGGACTACACTAACAACAGGCCCAAATCAGCCGGTGAGTGACCACACACACACAGTTGTACATTCTCACATGCACGAACACACACGTGTCATACAAATGCAGTACAGTCAATGTAGCCTACACACATAAAGTGCATTCTGAAAGTTTTCAGACCCCTTGACTTTTTCCACATTTTGTTACGTTACAGCCTTATTCTAAAATGGATGATATAAAATAAAATCTTCATCAATATACACACAATACCCCATAATGACAAAGTGAAAACAGGTTTTTAGAAATATTTGCAAATGTATAAAAATAAAAAACAGAATTATTTACATAAATATTCAGACACTTTGTTATGAGACTTGAAATAGAGCTCAGATGCATCCTGTTTCGATTCATCATCCTTGAGATATTTCTACAACTTGATTGGAGTCCACCTGTGGTAAATTCAATTGATTGGATAAGATTTGGAAAGGCACACACCTGTCTATATAAGGTCCCACAGTTGACAGTGCATGTCAGAGCAAAAAAACAAGCTTTGAGGTTGAAGGAATTGTCCGTACAGCTCTGAGACAGAATTGTGTCGAGGCAGAGATCTGGGGAAGGGTAACCAAAAACATTCTGCAACATTGAAGGTCCCCAAGAACACAGTGGCCTCCACCATTCTTAAATAGAGCTTGCCGCCCGGCCAAACTGAGCAATCGGGGAAGAAGGGCCTTGGTCAGGAAGGTGATCAAGAACCCGTTGGTCACTCTGACAGTGCTTTTGAGTTCCTCTGTGGAGATGGGAGAACCTTCCAGAAGGACAACCATCTCTGCAGCACTCCACCAATCAGGCCTTTATGGTAGAGTGGCCAGATGGAAGCCCCTCCTCAGTAAAAGGCAGATGTAAGCCCGCTTGGAGTTTGCCAAAAGGCACCTAAAGACTCTCAGACCATGAGAAACAAGATTCTCTAGTCTGATGAAACCAAGATTGAACACTTTGGCCTGAATGACAAGCGTCACGTCTGGAGGAAACCTGGCACCATCCCTACGATGAAGCATTTTGGTGGCAGCATCATGCTGTGGGGATGTTTTTCAGCGGCAGGGACTGGGAGACTAGTCAGGATCGAGGGAAAGAGGAATGGATCAAAGTAAAGAGATCCTTGATGAAAACCTGCTCCAGAGCTCTCAGGACCTCCGACTGGGGTGAAGGTTCACCTTCCAACAGGACAACGACCCTAAGCACACAGCCAAGACAACGCAGGAGTGGCTTCGGGACAAGTCTTTTGAATGTCCTTGAGTGGCCCAGCCAGAGCCCGGACTTGAACCCGATCAAACATCTCTGGAGATACCAGATAGCTGTGCAACAACGCTCCCCATCCAACCTGACAGAGCTTGAGAGGATCTGCAGAGAAGAATGGGAGAAACTCCCCAAATACAAGTGTGCCAAGATTGTAGCGTCATACCCAAGAACACTCGAGGCTGTAATCACTGCCAAAAGTGCTTCAACAAAGTACTGAGTAAAAGGTCTAATTACTTAAGTAAATATGATATTTCAGTTTTGTATTTTTAATACATTTAAAAAAATTCGGAAAACCTGTTTTTGCTTGATTTTCCCTTATGAAAAATTTATCAACCCCTACAAAAATGTCCATTAATTATAATCCACATAATAATTCACATTTCCTGTTGCTGCAGGATTATTTTCCTGCTCTAGCAAACTGGCTCAAGTTAAGATCCTACATTAGTTAGTCACAGCTGCTCAGGAAATGCATTTATCCAATATAAAGCAATACCCATTTATACTCTTGGGTATCTGTTTTACCAGGTCAGACTACGTGCCTACTTAAATGTACTGTATATTAGTCCACATAGACAGTGCAAGATGCCAACAATGAAGCCGACAGTGATGCCAACAAGTCCCCCACAGAACAGCCGCCAACAGAAGCACATTAGAGTCAGACGCCATCAGACTCAGTTGTCGCTCCCAAATAGCCCCAACCATAACGACTTCTAGACGCGCGGCAAAACAAACACAAACCCATTTCTTTCCAATTGCATTAAGGTGAAGGAAATATACTAATGGGTTATTTTTTATTTGAGTTCCTCGCCGTAAATGGCTTCCAGCTATTAGATTAGGAAGATGTGCTCTTTAAAATGTTTTATTTGTATAGGATTGTATTGTGCTTTTAGTTTTTTCTTGAGCGGCTGGTTGGGGGCCAGAACATAATTACAAATAATTTGCAAATTGACCGCAAGAGTCGCAAACAGATATAATATTTGACTAAAACAAAATCATTTCAAACCTTGCTTACATTTGTATATGATCCCATGTCCCTCTATTATGCATGGGAATACTTGGTAACAGATTTCCAAAATTAAAATCACTTGGAGCTGATTTCGAAATGTTCCTCAATGCTAGAAGGTGGGGCCTGAGTAAAAAAGCTTGGGAACCCCTGGTAAGAGAGCGGACTGCCTGTGCCCAGTGACATAGATAAATGAGGGTACTGGATGTTCTGGTGGAGGGGTGAAAGGAGAGACTGGTTGTTCATGTTTTGATGTGTAACTGCATCAGTGGACTGTCCTGTGGTGATTATGCAGGGGCCTAGATTATAGTCATGGGATTAAGACAAGGCTGCTCTGTACAGAGAGCGAAAAAGACCCACTGTACCATGTTAGAGACACACACACACTTACAGACTCTCTCTCACACACACACACACAGATAGACTCTCACGTTAACACTCACACACACTCTCTAATGTAATGGCGCCGGAGGGGATGGCTGCCGTTTTATGGACTCTTAACCAACCGTGCTATTTTGTGTGTTTTTTCGCATTGTTTGTAACTTATTTTGTAGTCTAATGACCGAAAAGAGCTTCTGGACATCAGAACAGCGATCACTCACCTTGAACTGGAGAAATAATTTTTCTTTAATGAGTCAGACAAGAGGGATTTGCTCCAGACACCCGACAGGGCCCTCATCCCCGTCATTCGCAGTAGAAAGAAAAGGAGATATCGCGGAAGGAGATCGGGGTGCCTGGTAAGTAGCCGGCAACGAGTGGCTAATTGATAATAAAGTGGACGAACTACAAGCACGTATATCCTACCAACGGGACATTCAAAACTGTAATATCTTATGTTTCACAGAGTCGTGGCTGAACGAAGACATTAATAACATACAGCTGGCGGGTTATAAACTGTATGGGCAGGATAGAACAGCAGTCTCTGGTAAAACAAGGGGTGGCGGTCTACAATGGTTTGCGAAAGTATTCACCCCCCTTGGCATTTTTCTTATTTTGTTGCCTTACAACCTAGAATTAAAATGGATTTTTTTGGGGGTTTGTATCATTTGATTTACACAACATGCCTAACACTTTGAAGATGCAAAATATTTTTTGGGGTGAAACGAACAAGAAATAAGACAAAAAAACAGAACTTGAGCGTGCATAACTATTCATCCTCCCAAAGTCAATACTTTGTAGAGCCACCTTTTGCAGCAATTACAGCTGCAAGTCTCTTGGGGTATGTCTCTATAAGCTTGGCACATCTAGCCACTGAGATTTTTGCCCATTCTTCAAGGCAAAACTGCTCCAGCTTCTTCTAGTTGGATGGGTCCCACTGGTGTACAGCAATCTTTAAGTCATACCACAGATTCTCAATTGGATTGAGGTCTGGGCTTTGACTAGGCCATTCCAAGACATTTAAATTATTCCCCTTAAACCACTTGAGTTTTGCTTTAGAAATATGCTTAGGGTCATTGTCCTGCTGGAAGGTGAACCTCCGTCCCAGTCTCAAATCTCTGGAAGACTGAAACAGGTTTCCCTCAAGAATTTCCCTGTATTTAGCGCCATCCATCATTCCTTCAATTCTGACCAGTTTCCCAGTCCCTGCCGAAGAAAAACATCCCCACAGCATGATGCTGCCACCACCATGCTTCACTGTGGGGATGGTGTTCTCGGGGTGATGAGAGGTGTTGGGTTTGCGCCAGACATAGCGTTTTACTTGATGGCCAGAAAGCTCAATTTTAGTCTCATCTGACCAGAGTACCTTCTTCCATAAGTTTGGGGAGTCTCCCACATGGCTTTTGGCGAACACCAAACGTGTTTGCTTATTTTTTTCTTTAAGCAATGGCTTTTTTCTGGCCACTCTTCCGTAAAGCCCAGCTCTGTGGAGTGTACGGCTTAAAGTGGTCCTATGGACAGATACTCTCCGCTGTGTAGCTTTGCAGCTCTTTCAGGGTTATCTTTGGTCTCTTTGTTGCATCTCTGATTAATGCCCTCCTTGCCTGGTCCGTGAGTTTTGGTGGGCAGACCTCTCTTGGCAGGTTTGTTGTGGTGCCATATTCTTACCATTTTTTTATAATGGATTTAATGGTGCTCCGTGGGATATTCAACGTTTCTGATATTTTTTTATAACCCAACCCTGATCTGTACTTCTCCACAACTTTGTCCCTGACCTGTTTGGAGAGCTCCTTGGTCTTCATGGTGCCGCTTGCTTGGTGGTGTTGCAAACTCTGGGGCCTTTCAGAACAGGTGTTTGATCATGTGACACTTAGATTGCACACAGGTGGACGTTATTTAACTAATTATGTGACTTCTGAAGGTAATTGGTTGCACCAGATCTTATTTAGGGGCTTCATATGCATGCACCACTTTTCCGTTATTTCTTTCTTTGCATTTTTTGAAACAAGGTATATTTTTCATTTCACTACACCAATTTGGACTATTTTGTGTATGTCCATTACATGAAATCCAAATAAAAATCCATTTAAATTACAGGTTGTAATGCATCAAAATATGAAGACGCCAAGGGGGATGAATACTTTTGCACGATATCTAAGTATCAAGGTTTTGCTCGCCTGAGGTAGAGTATCTCATGATAAGATGTAGACCACACTATCTACCAAGAGAGTTTTCATCTATATTCTTCGTAGCTGTCTATTTACCACCACAAACCGATGCTGGCACTAAGACCACACTCAATGAACTGTATACGGCCATAAGCAAACAGGAAGACGTTCATCCAGAGGTGGCGCTCCTAGTGGCCGGGGAGTTTAATGCAGGAAAACTTCAATCCATTTGACCTAATTTCTACCAGCATGTTAAATGTGCAACCAGAGGGGAAGAAACTCTAGACCACCTTTACTCCACACACAAAGCTCTCCCTCGCCCTCCATTTGGCAAATCTGTTCATAATTCTATCCTCCTGATTCCTGCAAGCAAAAACTAAAGCAGGAAGGACCAGTGACTCGGTCAATAAAAAAGTGGTCAGATGAAGCAGAAGCTACAGGACTGTTTTGCTAGCACAGGCTGGAATATGTTCCGGGATTCTTCCGATGGCATTGAGGAGTACACCACATCAGTCACTGGCTTCATCAATAAGTGCATCGATGACGTCGTCCCCACAGTGACTGTACGTACATACCCCAACCAGAAGCCATGGATTACAGGCAACATCTGCACTGAGCTAAAGGGTAGAGCTGCCGCTTTCAAGGAGCGGGACTCTAACCCGGAAGCTTATAAGAAATCCCGCTATGCCCTCCGACGAACCATCAAACAGGCAAAGCGTCAATACAGGACTAAGATCGAATCGTGCTACACCGTTTCCGACGCTCGTCGGATGTTGCAGGGCTTGCAAACTATTACAGACTACAAAGGGAAGCACAGCCGCGAGCTGCCCAGTGACACGAGCCTACCAGATGAGCTAAATTACTTCTATGCTCGCTTCGAGGCAAGTAACACTGAAACATGCATGAGAGCATCAGCTGTTCCGGACGACTGTGTGATCACGCTCTCCGTAGCCGATGTGAGTAAGACCTTTAAACAGGTCAACATTCACAAGGCCGCAGGGCCAGACGGATTATCAGGACGTGTACTCCGAGCATGCGCTGACCAACTGGCAAGTTTCTTCACTGATATTTTCAACATGTCCCTGACTGAGTCTGTAATACCAACATGTTTCAAGCAGACCACCATAGTCCCTGTGCCCAAGAACACTAAGGTAACCTGCCTAAATTACTACCGACCCGTAGCACTCATGTCTGTAGCCATGAAGTGCTTTGAAAGGCTGGTCATGGCTCACATCAACACCATTATCCCAGAAACCCTAGACCCACTCCAATTTGCATACCGCCCCAACAGATCCACAGATGATGCAATCTCTATTGCGCTCCACACTGCCCTTTCACACCTGGACAAAAGGAACACCTATGTAAGAATGCTATTCATTGACTACAGCTCAGCGTTCAATACCATAGTGCCCTCAAAGCTCATCACTAAGCTAAGGACCCTGGGACTAAACACCTCCCTCTGCAACTGGATCCTGGACTTCCTGACGGGCCTCCCCAGGTGGAAAGGGTAGGTAACAACACATCTGCCACGCTGATCCTCAACACGGGGGCCCCTCAGGGGTGCGTGCTTAGTCCCCTCCTGTACACCCTGTTCAACCATGACTGCATGGCCAGGCACGACTCCAACACCATCATTAAGTTTGCCAATGTCACAACAGTCCGACTGATCACCGACAACGACGAGACAGCCCATAGGGAGGAGGTCAGAGACCTGGTCATGTGGTGCCAGGACAACAACCTCTCCCTCAACGTGATCAAGACAAAGGAGATGATTGTGGACTACAGGAAAAAGGACCGAGCACGCCCCCATTCTCATCGACGTTGCTGTAGTGGAGCAGGTTGAGAGCTTCAAGTTCCTTGGTGTCCACATCACCAACAAACTAACATGGTCCAAGCACACTAAGACAGTCATGAAGAGGGCACGACAAAACCTATTCCCCCTCAGGAGACGGAAAAGATTTGGCTGCACCATCTAGAGCATCCTGACTGGTTTCATCACTGCCACAGCATCCTACTGCAAGGCACTACAGAGAGTAGTGCGTTCGGCCCAGTACATCACTGGGGCCAAGGTTTTGCCATCCAGGACCTCTATACCAGGCGGTGTCAGAGGAAGGCCCTAAAAATTGTCAAAGACTCCAGCCACCCTAGTCATAGTATGTTCTCTCTGCTACCGCACGGCAAGCGGTACCAGAGTGCCAAGTCTAGGTCCAAGAGGCTTCTAAACAGCTTCTACTCCCAAGCCATAAGACTCCTGAACATCTAATCAAATGGCTACCCGGACTATTTGCATTGCCTTGAATTCTAAATAAATCACAGACAGTGTCACCAGCAAAGCACCACCACACCATAACACCACCTCCTCTATGCTTTACGGTGGGAACTACACATGCAGAGATCATCCGTTCACCCACACCGCGTCTCACAAAGACACGGTGGTTGGAACCAAAAATCTCAAATTTGGACTCCAGACCAAAGGACACATTTCCACGAGTCTAATGTACATTGCTTGTGTTTCTTGGCCCAAGCAAGTCTCTTCTTCTTCTGTATGTCCTTAAGTAGTAGTTTCTTTGGAGCAATTTGACCATGAAGGCCTGATTCACACAGTCTCCTCTGAACAGTTGATGTTGAGATGTGTCTGTTACTTGAACTCTGTGAAGCATTTATTTGGGCTGCAATTTCTGAGGCTGGTAACTCTAATGAACTTATCCTCTGCAGCAGAGGTAACTCTGGGTCTTCCTTTCCTGTGGCGGTCCTCATGAGAGCCAGTTTCATCATAGCGCTTGATGGTTTTTGCAACTGCACTTGAAGAAACTTTCAAAGTTCTTGATGTTCCGTATGTTCCGTATGTCTTAAAGTAATGATGGTCTGTCGTTTCTCTTTGCTTATTTGAGCTGTTCTTGCCATAATATGGACTTAGCCCTATTTGGTAAAATACTATCTTCTGTATCCCCCCTACCTTGTCACAACACAACTAATTGGCTCAAATGCATTAAGAAAGAAAGAAATTCCACAAATTAACTTTTAAGAAGGCACACTTGTTAATTGAAATTCCAGGTGTACCTCATGAAGCTGGTTGAGAGAATGCCAATAGTGTGCAAAGCTGTCATTAAGGCAAAGGGTGGCTATTTGAAGAATCACAAATATAAAATATATTTTGATTTGTTTAACACTTTTTTGGTTACTACATGATTCCATATGTGATTCATATTTAATTTTATTCTACAATATAGAAAAAGTAGTGCACTATGTAGGGAATAGGGTGCCTTTTGGAATAGAGCCTGTGTTGTGTCTGTAACCGCCTGGATACAATAAACAGTGTCTGGTGTTTCTGCAGCTGTATATTGGACTCACAGCTAGGGCTACGTCCCTGGTGTATGTTTGCTCATTCACATGAGTGGGTTTGTATACCTACTTCCCACAACGTACTCCTTTTCAAGGATAGTTTGTCAGCAATGCCTCACAATGCTGTAAGTGCTACTCCAGGCAAGTGGCTAGTGATTAGAGATGGCATTTCTTCAGAAGCGCCCATTTGAGCAGTGGTCTAATTTCATCTGGGATAAAGTCTCAGTTGTGGATATAAACATTTGTTTACCTGCAGGGTTACAATAACATTTTTGAGGGTTTAGGTGGGTCAGGAGTCAGGGCACAAAATGGGGGAACCACTCTCTTAGGCCAAGACCAAATGAGCAAAAAACTATTGGTTGAGATGAGTGGGAGCGTGGTTACCCCATTTTGTGTCCTGACACACTCCAACATCCATTAGTCTGTTGGTCCCTCGAGTATACGGCATATTGCAGTTTCACTTTAAATGTGTAGCTATAGCACTTTGATTTAATTGTATTGGGTATTTTCTGGGTTTTCATGTTTTTTTGCCGTCTTTTTAAGCACATGACCAAATGAATTTCCCCCGGTGGGATAAGAAAGTTGATCTGAATGACAAAATCTCACTGTAGATGCAGCATTAGCCTATATCTGTGGGGTCTCTTGCCACTGTCTAAAAATCTAGGATTCTCCTCTGCTTTGTCTGATTATAACCGTGTTATTGGTTCTGTTTTCCAGGGGAATTCTTCGTGGCGAATCGGGACGGACAGCCAGAATCCGGGTCCTGCCCCACAGTCCCCCGCTCCTTCTCGGCCCCCTACCCCTCCCTGGAAGGCATCGCCGAGGGGGCCGGTGAGGGGGAAGACGAGGCCTGGCCCTGGGACCCCAGCGAGGGGCCAGGAGGAGTGCAGGATGTGGGGGGAGAGCCCGTGGAGGGGGAGCCCACGGAAGAGGACTATCGCCAGGCCCAGCGTGTTGAGACATATATCCTGGGCCTGATCCAGCGGCGCGCCCTGCCCCCTCGACCCTGCAAGCCCCGCACCGCCATCACTGTGGCCCGCCAGAGCAGCCTCTGCCGCAAGGAGCCCCAGCCTCCACCAGCCGCTGCCTCCATCCCTGAGCACCACCCTCACCACCACCACCACCACCACCACCACCAAGCCACTGGTCCCCCTCCCTCTGAGGGTCCCCCTCCTTCCTGGGCCTGCCACAGCCTGGACCAGGAGCTGTACGCGAGCATTGCCTTGCTCCCTGAGGACCCCCCTCTCCACCACCATCACCACCACCCTCACCCTCACTACCCCCAACACAGGCCCAAACAGCCCCCCCTGGCCAACACCCGCTCTGCTTCCCTGGACTACCCCTGCAGTGTAGCTCCATCCCAGGACCCAAGCAGCAACGAACCCGACTCACCCCATCACTTCCACCACGGCTACCTGGCCCCTCCCCTGCCCCGCTCGCCTCCCTCGCCTGACGAGCAGCTGGTCAACGCCCAGTACATCCCCGCCCAACCTCTCCGGGCCCCCACTGCCAGGGCCTCCGCACACTCCCACTCCCACAGGGGGGCCCTTGGGGGCCCCAAACCCAGCCGGGGCACCTATTCTCCAGAGAGGGGTTCCCAACAACAGCTGGCCCCACAGCAGCTGCAGCAAGCCAAGTCTAAGGCCGCCCCCAAGAAGTGTCGCTTTAGCGAGGAGAAGGAGAAGGAGAGGGAGAAGGAGAGAGAGAAAGACAGGGAGAGAGAGAAGGAGAAAGACAGGGAGAGAGAGCGGGAGCGGCCAGGAGGCTCCAAGAAGCCTGGAAGACGAGCCTGCAGGTCCCAGTCTGAGAACAGCCTCAATGGGCAACGGGGCGTCCCTGAACGCAAGTACAACACAGTGGAGAGAGACGGGGGAGGATCAGGGTCAGGGAGCGGCCGCGGTAGCCAGTCCAAGGGGAAGAGGCCCCAGCCGGGCAGTGCAGGCTACCGCCGCTGGCGCTCCACTCTTGAGCTCAGCCAGGACGAAGCTGAGCAGCCTCCACCGGCTGACCAGGGCTCCAGGCGCACTCGCAAACCCCGGCCGCCTCCCCCACCTTATGCCTACGTTAACCCCCACCCCCATCATCACTCCCATCTGGAGTACCTGGACAGGGAGCACGCACCCCTGTGTCGGCCCGAGGAGCGCTATCCCCACCCGGGGCAAGGCGAGTCCGAGTCGAGCCTGAGTGAAGCCGACTCGCCGGCCTCCAGCTCGCTGTCAAGCGACTCAGATGAGAGCGGGGGTCTGGTGTGGCCCCAACAGCTCCCCCCTCAGCTCTCCTCCCCCCCGTTGGCCCCCGCTCCGGCAGGGGCCCCCCTGCAGCCCAAAGCCTTCATCAAGATCAAGGCCTCACACGCGCTCAAGAAGAAGATCCTGCGCTTCCGCACGGGCTCCCTCAAAGTCATGACCACCGTTTAGAGTGCCACACAAGACCCGTGTTTAGCAGTTGGTGGTTAAGACAATTTAGTGTCTCTCTCTATATGCACCTGGTTTCCTTTGAGGAGAACCGCTGTCTGTTTTGAAGAGTAGCATGTACAGAAGACAGCAAATTTAACTCACTGCACTGCCTAACTGGACATACATACATAGACTCTTTGGCTTTCATTGCATCCTTCACAGGCCTCAGACAGATCTGCCATAAACCCTCCTGAACAAGCAAACAGAGCTGAGCCTGAGCTCTAAACTATGAATCCAGATCTGTGCAGCTTTTGGCTGTTGCCTGAGCCCAGCCACGCGGGTTCTGAGACTAGATAATATGCTATGTGGCTTGAGTTGGGACTAGTGGTTATTTGGGTGGCTAAAGTAGACATAAGACTGGGACCCAGAGACTAAGCACCCCCCATCCCCCTTCTAAAAAGACCTTACCCCCCCTATCATCCCCCTTTCCCTCCCCCTGACAGAGAGTACTGTGAGCATGATATGTCCCCTGTCATGTGACCTGTGACTCAGCATCAACGTGTCTGTAGTCTAGGTTGCGTTCCAGGCAGACTACATTGCAGACATTGCATTGCATAAACCAATGGATACACGCCACGTCATTAACTGCATAGCGCAGTCGGGTATCAGACTGCTAAAATCATATCATGTGGTTAGCTGATATGTTAAACACCTATCTTGGTGTGAGATCTGGTGTTGTCAGATCTGGCAGGTGTATGCAATGTAGCCTGGAACGCTGCCCTCCTCTGCACATGCCCACCTGTGTGGTGTGATGTACACACTCCTGTATTTATGAATGTAGTCTGTAAATAAAATTTGCTGGGACCATGGAACCTTTAGGGACCACAGAAGTCTTGTCTCTCGACCACCGGCACTCAATGTGTGTTTCATTGGGCGGAGAGAGAGTGAAAGTGAGAGACTGAAAGTGAGAGAGTGTGGGTGTGTTTGCCTCTAGCTCGTTAAAGCTCTCAAGCTGTGGTGCAGGATTAGTGTTGTTTGTGTTCCATCCTGATTCGCACCAAGGTTTACCACGAAAAAGACCATGCATGGGCTGTGTCTGAAAACATTACTAGCCGTCAAATCCTTGCTTCCTCTGTTCTTGTTTACTCAACTCCTCACCTCCCCCTCTAAGCTCATTGGAGGAGAAGGTCCAAGGGGAGGGATCTTGGGTACTCTGTTCCAATGCCCTTTGAGAGGGAGGAGAGGAATGGTGTAAACAAGGACATAGAAAGCAAGGATTTGTCAGCTAGTAATGTTTTCAGACACATCCATGGATGGGCTCTTTCTAAAAAATGCTTTCTTCAATTCCTTGCTTCCTCTTTCCTCGCCTCCTTGGACCTTCTCTTCCAATGCATTTTGAGAGGGAGGTGAGGAGAGCGGATGCTAGGGGAGAAAAAGAAACCCAAGATGGACATCCATTTCAGAGCAAGGATGAAGCTATGACGTGATGAAAGACAATCTTGCAATAATAGGTACCGATAACATTATTCATTTTAAGAGAGATACATGATACACATTTTCCTTCTGACAATTCAAACCACATGTGGCATATCTGACATTGTAGCCAGTCCAGTTGCTCGATCTCATAGAGATAAAATGTAAACTACAGTGGTTGAGTCCCAAATGGCACCCTATTCCCTACATAGTGTTCTACTTTTTACCAGAGCCCTATGGGCCCTTGTCAAAAGTAGTGCACTATAAAGGGAATAGGATGCAATTTGGAACATAAACAGTATCTGCTGTGCTGGGTGGTACCAGTGGAGCCAAACACGCTAATAACATTTCACTGAGGTAGGTGGTAGAAAACACACAGGTAGGGAAACACACACACACTTTTAGCAGTGAAAAGCCTGGTGCTGCAGGGGATGTAAGTGTTAAGTGAAAGAAAAGAGGCAGGGGGGGGGGGGGTAAAGAGGGGGGGTAAAGAGGGGGGGTAAAGGAGGGTAGGTGACAGGGTGGAAGGAGGGAAAGCGGGGTCGATGGACATGGAAAAGCAGAGGGAGAGCAGCGCGACAGCAGGGGAGGGGCTGGTTTCTGGGTTAGAGATGGTATCTTGTTTTGTTGTTGTTGTCATGCAGGTCTAGTCTGGCGTGTCACCAACACAGCTGCGGGCTGCAGGCCAGAAGACAGGAATTCACATAAACACTTAATCAGTTTCTTCCCCTGGAGAACTAACAAGATCATTAGCCCCAGATGTAGCGGAGCAACTTCCTACAAACACAGGCATACACACACACACATACACACATGCTCGAGCAAACACACAGACACACACTCGGGCACTAGCATACACATTCACAGGCACTGCCATAGGCACACACACAGGCATACACACGCGCAGACACATACACATACACCGAGTGGGAAAGAAGGGCAGGAAAGCTTCATCAGGTAAAATGCTGAGACCTTTGACCTTTCCTTCCATTGCCACATTCTGGTACGCACATGCACATGTCTTAGTGCAGCTGTAGAACACAGCGCTATTGAGTAACTGAACAGGGAGTGTGTGAGGCTGGGGGAAGAGAAGAGGACATGGATTTCTGGGATATGGGTTGGGCATTCTGAACAGGGAGTGTGTGAGGCTGGGGGAAGAGAAGAGGACATGGATTTCTGGGATATGGGTTGGGCATTCTGAACAGGGAGTGTGTGAGGCTGGGGGAAGAGAAGAGGACATGGATTTCTGGGATATGGGTTGGGCATTCTGAACAGGGAGTGTGTGAGGCTGGGGGAAGAGAAGAGGACATGTATTTCTGGGATATGGGTTGGGCATTCTGAACAGGGAGTGTGTGAGGCTGGGGGAAGAGAAGAGGACATGGATTTCTGGGATATGGGTTGGGAATTATGACACTGTTCCAGCTGTGTCAGTCCTCTGTCCTGCTGCAGCATGAACAGAAAAGAAAGGGCAGGAGAGGAGAGGAAGGCTCAAGAAAAGAAGATGGGCGATTGAAAGAAACTAGCTGAAACTAATGAGCCCCCTTACCCTAACCAGTCCTGCTAGAAATAGAGAGGGAGGAGAGAGGGAGGGAGAGAGACAGAGAGAGAGAAAGACGGAGAGAGACGGAGAGAAAGAGGGAGAGAGAGAAAGAGGGAGAGAGACGGAGAGAAAGAGGGAGAACTCAGGCAAAATAAATAACTCTGTAGCCTCCCGCTCTCTTCACTCGTTCACTGTCTTGCTCTCAGTCGTTTCCCCACCCACCACCCCCTCTCTTTCTCTCCCTCCCTCCCTATACCTCTCTCCCTCCCTCCCTCCCTCCATCTGGATATGGTTAGAGAAGCATGCTCCCTTCAGGGCCAGGAACCAGGGCTATTTCCTGAGAATCAGGGATACAGGAGAGGAGGGGGCCAGTCAGCCAGCACCGGGCCAGAAGAGGAAACCGAAACACAGAAAGAGAAATGGAGGGAGGGAAAAAAGAAAGGAGAGTCAAACTGAGCTGAATGGAGGCCTGGCCGGCGCCACATCTGGGTTTGATTTGAGGGAGGGCTGTGTGTGTGTGTGTGTGTGTGTGAGAGAGAGAGAGAGAGAGAGCTTTATTTTTGGCACTTGGTTGGATTCAGAGTGATTGACCTATTTTCTCCAATTTTTCTCTAGTTATTTTTATTGCTGCCTTTATCTCCTCTCGCTCTGACTTTGATGAGTTTGTCCTGTTCTCAAGAGAAAAAGCAGCAGCAGTCTGAGCAGCCGTTCGCTCCTTTTCTCATTTTCACTCTGTCTCTCCTTTCTCTGCTCTCCCCTACTCCTCTCCCCTACACTCCTCTCCCCTACTCCTCTCCCCTACTCCTCTCACCTACTCCTCTCCCCTACTCCCCACCCCCTACTCCTCTCCCCTACTCCTCTCACCTACTCCCCACCCCCTACTCCTCTCCCCTACTCCTCTCACCTACTCTTCACCCCTGCTCTTCACCCCTACCCTTCACCTCTACTCCTCTCTCCTAATCCTCACCCCCTACTCCTCACCCCCTAATCCTCACCCCCGTACTCCCCTCCCCTCCAAATTCACACACATACTCAAGGCAATTAGAAATGCCAGACGGGCTCATTTTTATAACTTGATCACTATTCATCTGAATAATTAGAGAGTGTTCTTCTTGACCATTGATGGCCTGATAAATCCTACCCCCACAAACCTATGTGAACTTTCCTCATCTAAATGTGATGAGTTTGTGGCATATTTCAGAGATAACCTACATTAGGCTGGGTATCAGTCAAGCAAGACCTGATGAGAAGTTAGTTGATGTGTGCCCTAGCCTACCATGCAAAGGCACCATGGATTCATTTTCCCTGGTTGGCACAGACATGCTCAGGAAAGTGATATCTGAACTAAACATTAGGAATGTGACCAAAATATATTTTTAGGATGAACATTGCCAAGGTGTGGTCGTTTCTCTCAGGCTGATACAGAAAGCCATTGGTCAACTGCAAAACATACAGAATGCTGCAGCACGGGTACTGACCAAGACCAGACAGAGAGCACACATTACACAGGTTTTAAGGTCTCTGCACTGGCTGCCTGTGCGTTTTTTATAATTAATTTTAAGATTATTCTATTGGTTTTTAAATCAATCCACGATTGTGCACTGCAATACAAGTCAGACATGCTTTTAAGTTATGTACCCAGTAGGTCCCTCAGGTCCTCTGGCACTGGCCTTTTAACAATCCCAAATCCTAGGACCAAGAGGCATGGAGAGGCATCCTTTAGTTATTATGCCCCCAGCCTCTGGAATAGCCTGCCAGAGAACCTGAAGGGGGCTAAAACTGTGGACAAATTTAAAAGAGATCTTAAAACACGTGTTTTTATCTTTGCTTTTCCTTAGGGGGCTATTTAGTTGTTCAGTTTGTCATTCTTTTGTTTTTGATCTTATGTTTGTTGTGTTGTAAATATTTCAGCTTTTAATTTCATAGTTTTTTTCCTGTAAAGCAGATTGCATTGCATTCCATGTCTGAAATGTGCTGTATAAATAAAGCTTGATTTGATTTGATATAC